GTTTGGCTTTTTATACCTTATATATGATGTGGAGGCAACCACCAGAAGAGCTACTACTGCCCTCCATCGCCATTGAGTCAACTCCGACTTGTGGCGACCCTCTGAGGCAAAGTAGGGCTGCCCCGTAGGGTCACCAAGGCTGTGATCTTCACAGAAGCAGACTGCCACAACTTTTTCCCATACAAGAACTGCACATATGTTTAAAAGTGCTTTCCTCTGGGAAGACGGGCTTGTCACTGGAAGTGGGCAGGGCATTTGTTCATCTGTAAGAAACACTTATTTGATTTTAAAAATAAATTTAACCCTCTATCCTCTCTCTTTATATTTATTGATGTGGAATCTCATGATGGGGGAATAGAGAAAATGCAAAATTACCTAAAATTTTAAAACTAAAATATGGCAGACTTGAGACTCAAAGATTTATTTAGTATTTTGGGTGAGTGATGAAAGAAAACACACTAATGCAAGTCCTCAGACAACTCCAATCAATACTAACACATAATGCTAAATATTTAAGTGAATAAATTCAACTATCATCCCATGTAAGAGCACAAAACAGAGTTATTTTTGTGTTTGATTCTTCTCTGGGAGTCAAATGAAAGGTCACAGGAGAAGGATAAAGCAGAGGCCTTCAGAGCCCAAGACTAAGCTTCCCAAGCCTCTCGCTTTAGAGGTTAGTGAACAGGAGCTCCAGGAAGAAGACACGTGGTTAAAGTTAAATGACACTTTGCTCTCATTTACACTTTCACTCTTGAAACATATGGTAGGTTCCTACTGTGTCCCAGGCATGGGCTGGGCTCTGGAAACACAGGACACTTTGATCAAGAGCTTTCAGTCAAATGAGAAAAGGCAGAAGCAGCTCATGGAAAAAGTATTCCCACCTAACGTCCCTTTACAAGGACTTTGCTGGTAACAGCTCAGTTAGTCTTCAGGACAAGACTATCACGTAAGTGGTATACTCCCATTTTGCAGAGGAGGAAACTGACCCTTGAGGTAAAATCATTGCTAAAAGCCAGGAATGTCTGATGCCAAAGCCCATATACTCTCATGTGCAGCAGATGATCTAGAGTCTTGATGTATGCATTGGGATGGAAAGGAGGGAAGACACGAGCATGTTCTGATGAGAATCCCTGGGCCAGATTGTATTTCTTTTAAACACTATTAAACTAACCCTCACATATGCAACCCTCCTGGCCTGGTTCTTATAATACTGACACTCCATCTTTTTTGTTGCAGGAAAGGAAGTTTGCTATGAAAGGGTGGGATGCTTTAAAGATGATTTACCGTGGATGGGGATTTTATCAAGACATTTGATGGGTTTACCCTGGTCTCCAGAGAAGATAAACACTCGCTTTCTGCTCTATACTATACATAATCGCAATGTCCACCAGGTAAGCGAACTTGCTTCCTTCACACATAGATTATTCCAAAATATATGATGTATATATAGATAAAGGAGCTTTTTATTACCCCCTCATGCTCAGAGCTCTGGTAGCATAGTGCCTAAGGCACTTGACTGCTAACCAGAAGGCAGGTGATTCAAACCCACCAGCCACTCCTCGGAAGGAAGATGGGGCAATCTACTTCCATAGTGATACCGCCTCGGAAACCCAAGGAGGGGTCACTGTGTTGGATCCTACTCGACAGCAGTGAGTTTGGTTTTATACAGATAAAGAAGGTATAGATATGGAGAAACAGTAAACTATCATTATCTGGCGAAAGGTGTTGATTTAAAGGCAAATGTATCTTTTTCAGTATTGTGAACCAGATTCCCATCTTATTTGTTCTAGTATTTAATATGAAAATATATGTTGTTTTATATAAGTTGAATCTGATATTAAGTTCAGGTAAATGTGTTAACTGAGTACCTGCCACACATAAGACTGTGAATAAACAATAGTGCTTATTATATATTGAATTGAATTTATCTAGATAGTGTCTTAAATAGATTAAGGGAAATGGAGTATATAAACAGAAGCTTTATTACAACACAAATCGTGACCTGTGATGTAAGACACTAATAAAAGACTCTGGGAACAAATAGCCTATCTTCACCTTGGGGATTGGGATGGGAATCATCAAAGACTTTGAAGAGAACATCATATTGAAAGGGGCCCTGAAGTATTGACAGGCTCGTTATAAGCAGAGATAAACAGGGGTAGTTGGAACAAAGGAGATGGCATGAATAAATACATCAAGGAGAGACACTGTAGGGCATGTTTAATGAATGGCTTGTTGGGTTAGGCTGGGTACAGAGAGGGAAGTCTCAAAGTAAATTTAGTTGGAATAATAGTTTAAGGAGTAATTTATAATTCCTTCCTGTGGAATTTGAACTTTGTCCTGTGAGCCACGTGTCTCCACTGAGAGTTTTGAAGAGGGACTTTCGAGTGTTGGCTCTGGCAGCAGTGCACTTTGTCTGGAGCTGGGAGAGACTGAAGGTGACAGGAGCTGACTCAGAACCACAGTGTCCAGTAGGGTAGCCACCAGCTCCATGTGGCTATAAAAGTTAAAGTGAAATAAAATTAAAAGCTTAACTCCTCAGTGGCACTAACCACGGTCTAAGTGCTCAACAGCCACACATGGCTGGAATGGCTACTATGTTGGACGGGACAAGTATAGAACACTTCCATCATCCCTGATAGCTCTATTAGACAGCATTGAATAGAACGATAGCACAGCTTAGACATGGGGAGCTCACCTGAACTAGAATAAAGAGAGTGAGTACAGTGATATAAAGTTGGCATGACAAACATCATAAACAGTCCAGAGTTCATGAATGATGGGGAAACAGGGACCTTTTATGAGAAAGAGGAGCGGAGTGTGGGTGAAAGAGAATGAATTAAAGTTTGAACAAGTTAAGTTGGGGC